TAAATCCCTTTATTAGGCAGGTTTTTGGTGCAAGATAACCAAAATGTATTCTATATTACAATTTTTTTAAAAAGATATATAATCCATATTAAATTGTCAAAAATTAGGTTGTGAATTTTCATGCAAGGGATATATATACACTCTCATTCGTCAACACTAACAATTTACTTTTAAAAAGAAGCATAACGGCGTAAAGGGTCCACTATATATATTCTTCTGCTATATTGTAAAGGAGAAATATGCGGCTATTCCGGAGAATTATAAAAAAAAATAAGAGTTTTATTCATTGGATAGATTAGTTGGTACTGGATAGATTAAGCATTTGTGCTTAATCATGAATCATGCACTATACAAATGCTGCCATCTGATCTAATGGATTCTTTTTTTCTCTTTTTCAGTATCCCCTGAAAAACTAAAAAGTTTCAATGAGTCCAATCATCCATAATATAATCAACTGACTAATATTCCTTTATATTAAAGCTTTACGAGTTAGTTATCATTTTGTCAGATCAAACCTTTCAAAATTCCAAAGGGTTATTATTATGCGACTTGCTGAATTAATTATAGATTAAAATTTCTTGAACCCTCTTGCGCCGACCTCAAAATTTCTGACAAATTAAAAAGAAAAAATGACAGACAAATTTAGCTAGTTTTTTTTAAAACTAAATTAGATATGAACTCCTGTTCTTGATGTCGATCGTAATTATTATATGTGGAATATTTCAGTAATGAAAAAGATAATCCTGTTTCTTTTTTTCCTAGTTCAAGTTGACTTTACAAGTTTCTCTTGTCACGATACCTGTGGAAACTAATTCGCAACGAAGAATATTTCAGTTGCCGTATCAAATGCTACATGTACATTTTATATCTTTACACCAATTGGTTGCGCTGTTAATCTTCTTTATGCCTATAAGATTAAATATTTAACATTTTAACAAAAAGAGATAAATATTCAACATGGCAAAACAGTAACATAATTAAATGTTTTGAAACGTGATTTTGTTTGTCTTATGCATTAAACATATGTCACCACCATATTTGGTGTGATTGATAGAGCAACAAGTAAGATCAACTCTTGTTGTCTCTTGTGTGGATACTTTGTATACATGATCAAATCTTAGATAATTTATTCGTAATATTGTTTCAACTACCATGGTTGCTAAAATATGTATTTACAATAATGATTTTTAAAATAGTATTTGTAGCTAGTGCACCAACGTTACAATTAGTTATGTCGTCGTTTGCAAACTCCTTAGAAAAAAAAAGAAAATAGCGTAATGTGGCAACATATCTATAACTGCATATCTACTAGGTACAAAATAATAGTAAAATGAAAACAAATTTGAAATTTAGTAAAAAATATAAAACTATTTGTTTAATATTTTTAAAATTTCTAATGATAATATCTTGACTTGACTTTTTTTATTCATGAACCCTCAACTTTTTTACCCTTTAAGTCATGTATGTACATAGTTTTGTTTAATATTGTTATAGACATTTGTGGCTGTGTTTGAATATATTTGGGTGTTCACTTGTTTGGCTTAATTTAAAAGAACTCTAGAGTAATTCTTTAGACAAATACAAAAAAAAAATTTAAATTTGATAATTATTTGTTATTATAAAGTTTTTTGCTAAACTTAAACATTTATTGTAAATCTGTATCATATAATTAAATTTCAGGATTTTTGGCTAAGCTGATTCATGAACATACACGCAATACCAAAACTCTATACAGATGAAGAAATTAAATGGAAGATCCAATGTTGTTATAAACTACTAACTCTTTTCGCCGTGTGGATTACCTTTTGAAACCGAATCATCCTAATCATCATCACTAGTGCAAAGTGATTTTGTTGAACCTTTCAAAACAACCGAACGATAAATCGCCGTCACCTAAATTTGTTAAAATACCGAAATTACCCTTTGATTGCTCAGTGTCATCGTCCCCGTCACGCCTCTTTTTTGTGTATTAGAAAAATATATATCTCTCCCGTCGTCCTTTACGGCTTTCTTCTCTGAGTGTTGTTATTATTCTTTCAAGTCTCTCAACCCTCTAAACATCCGTCAAAATAATCAGTCTTTCACAATTCTTCGAACATGCCTTTGATTTCTATATTCTCTAATCCCAGCAAGTCTTCATTGTTAGAAGTATATATGTTCGTTTAGCTCTGGGTTTTGGAAACAGAGAGTAAGTAAATTTAATTTTTTTTTTCCGGGAAAATTTTGTCATGGGGATTATCTGGGATTCGTTTCTCTGGTTGCTTGTGGCGGGGATTGTTCTGTTCTTGGTTAGGATTGTGTTGTTCAAAACTGGATTGATCTACATGGTGAAGAAATGGCGGAGGACGATCTTCGATTTGTTCCATGTTTACCAGTTCTACAAGGTCCCAGAATTCAACGAGAACGTGCAAGAGAATCAGCTGTACCGGAAAGTGTACGCGTATCTGAACTCGCTGAGCTCGATCGAGAACTCCGATTTCACGAATCTCTTCACCGGGAAAAAGTCTAACGAGATCATCCTCCGCTTGGATCGGAACCAGGTCGTCGGCGACGAGTTTCTCGGCGCTAGAGTTTGTTGGATCAACGGGGAAGACGAAGACGGGGCGAGGAGTTTCCTTCTCAAGATTCGTAAAGCCGATAAACGGAGAATCCTCGGCTCGTATCTCCAGCATATACACACCGTGTCTGATGAGCTCCAACAGAGGAACACGGAGCTGAGGCTGTTCATGAACGCCGGAGACGATGACGGGAAGAGGAAGAAGAGCGGACGGTGGAGATCGATTCCTTTCAATCACCCTTGTACCTTGGACAATATCGCCATGGAAGCGGATCTGAAGGACAAGGTTAAATCCGATCTCGAGTCGTTCCTCAAGGGTAAACAGTATTACAATCGGCTTGGTCGAGTATGGAAACGGAGCTACCTCTTATACGGACCTTCCGGCACCGGGAAATCAAGCTTCGTCGCGGCAATGGCGAATTTCCTGGATTACGATGTTTACGATATAGATCTCTCGAAAGTCGCGGATGACTCGGATCTTAAGATGCTTCTGTTACAGACCAGAGGCAAGTCTGTGATCGTGATCGAGGATCTCGATCGATTCATCTCGGCGAAATCAACGGCTGTGACCATTTCAGGGATTTTGAATTTCACTGATAGTATTCTAAGCTCTTGCGCCGCCGATGAACGGATCATGGTGTTCACGATGACGGGAAAAGAGCAAATTGACCCGGCTATGCTCCGACCGGGTCGGGTCGACGTGCACATCCACTTCCCGTTATGCGATTTCACGACGTTTAAAACGCTCGCCAGCAACTACTTAGGTGTGAAAGAGCACAAGCTTTTCCCTCAAGTGGAAGGGATCTTCCAAAACGGTGCGTCTCTGAGTCCCGCCGAGATCGGAGAGCTGATGATCGCGAATCGTAGTTCGCCGACTCGCGCGTTGAAGTATGTCATCAATGCTCTTCAGACCGACGGAGATCGCAGAGGAACCGGACGGCGTTTGCTTCTCGAAAGCGGCTCGAGAAAATCGACATCAGGAGATGCCGGAGATATGAGTGGTCCTCTCTGCGGCGGCGGAGGAAGCTCGCCGGCGGTGAAGGAGTTCAGGAAGCTGTATGGGTTGTTGAGGATCAAAAGTAGTAGAAAATCTGAGTCGTACGATGTGGCTCGAGAGATCAGGGACGGCTAGTGATTAAAGTTTTGCAAAGTCAACAGCCACGTGGATTTATTTTATTGGCTGTGAGAGTCTGGATAATTGCAGACTAGGGAATGTTTACTCTGTTTTGTTTTTGCTTTAGTTAATGTACAGAAGAAGTTTTAGAAGACAAAAAAATTGTTTTGCTTTGGAAGAAAAGAAAACCCCAATATTATTTTGATTTAGGCCCAAAGGTTTAAGGAACATGTTGGGCCGATTATTAAAAAAGCCCGTCACGTAACGAAATTCCAAATATGCCCTTTTATGATCGAAGGGCCCTAAAAAAGAAGCAAATTAATCAAACGGTCATGGGGCGTCCCCGGCGTCAATAACACGCTTTGGTTCATTATAAAGTGCGTCATTAAACCAGTCTTCGTCTTCTTCTTCTTCGTCATCTAGGGTTTTACTTTCTGGTTGCCTCCTCATATTCTTCACGGTAAGTTTATAAACTACTACTTCGAATCTTCTTGGTACTTCAGCGGGATTTTCGATTATATACGTGCTGATCTTTTCCGTCTGTCGATTATATTTGGTGTTGCATGGGTCAGCGATTCGATTTCTTCTGCAAGTATGAGGCCGGTGTTCGTCGGAAATTTTGAGTATGATACTCGCCAATCGGATCTCGAACGGTTGTTCAGCAAGTACGGGAGGGTGGAGCGAGTCGACATGAAGTCTGGTAAAATATAGGAAACTATCAATTTTCTTTTGAATTTCTGTTCTTTCTGGCGGAGGGGAGATAACTGGAAAATATTGGAAATTAGGGGATAAATTGTTCATTTGATCATTTTGCTGCTCCGTTTGATCTAAGATTCTGGATTTTTGAGAACTTGCGCCACTTTCAAGAATGATTTTGCAGTTGTATTGATACACTGAAGCATGATTTAGTGTTTGAGAGAAATCATTCAAAAGGAACCATTAGTGGGGATTTTGGTGAAGAGAAGGGATTCTCGTATTTAAGTGTTTGTTTGGTCGCAGGAACTGTCTCCCAAAGGAGCATGAGTTTCCTCTTTTCATGGACTTGCCCAACTTCTTTCCTACATTTTCGTGCCTACTACTACCTTAATCATGTTGTGCCTACAATCTTGGATGAGTCTAGAGAAACCTTGGAAGTCAATTGAATCCATCATCCATTGCCTTGTTTCTTCATGCCTTTCATATCTGAAACTCCTACTACTATCAGAATGGCGAAGCAGGGCTTTGCAATCATTCAGAATTGTTAAAGAACAAAAAAATTCGATTTTATTACCTTTTGATAGGCTACAACTACACTTCTCTGCATCTTTTGTACACCCAGCCTTCACATTGATGCAGGTGTTTTACATTTATTTAGTTTTTTTTTAATTTTCTCTAGGTGAAAAGGTGTCTTTTGTAGTTGCCAAGCTCCTGCATTGCAAATTTGGTTGGCTGAAACATCTACTGTATTGTCAGTTTATCTTCCGCGTTTTCTTATCTTGTGTCTGTTTTTGTCTTTGCAGGGTATGCTTTTGTGTATTTTGAGTATGAGCGTGATGCTGAAGATGCAATCCGTGGGATTGACAATATCCCTTTTGGCTACGAGAAACGCAAGTTATCAGTCGAATGGGCCAAGGTTTCTCTTTCTTTCTTCTCCCTTATGAATCATATAATATGCTCTGATTTGTTGAGAGAGCTCTAAGTTTTTTTTTTTTCTGGCTTTCAGGGTGAACGTGGGAAGCCTCGTGATGGAAGGGCGGCCTCGAATCAGAGGCCTACAAAGACACTCTTCGTCATCAACTTTGACCCTATTCGCACAAAAGAGCGTGATATTGAGAGACACTTTGAGCCGTATGGTAAAGTTCTCAATGTCCGCATAAGGCGTAATTTTGCATTTGTCCAGTTTGCAACCCAGGAAGATGCAACCAAGGCCCTTGACTGTACTCAAAACAGGTAATGACATTAACACACACCTTTAGTAAGCAGCAACACCTCTCTCTTTTTTTTCAATCTTAAGGAGATGTTGATTCGATTCTCGTTTGGCAGCAAAATAATGGACCGGGTTGTCTCTATTGAGTATGCTTTGAGGGATGATGATGAGAGAGAAGATAGATATGCTGCTAGTCCGAGAAGGAGATCTCCTAGTCCAGTGTACCGGAGACGCCCTAGTCCTGATTATGGCCGTCCTCGTAGTCCTGAGTACGACAGGTACAAGGGTCCAGCTCCATATGAAAGGCGTAGGAGCCCAGATTATGGCCGTCGCAGTCCAGAGTATGGTAGAGCGAGGAGCCCAGAGTATGGTAGAGCGAGGAGCCCTGGTTATGACAGATACAGGAGGTAACCAATACTTTGTCTCTTCTTCATACTGTTTTGATTACCCAGTACTAAAGCTCTCTGTTTCTCTAATTGTTTGATTTGTTTTTTTTAACAGCCGGTCTCCTGTTCACAGAGCAAGAGGTTGAAGATGTTGTTCTGCAATGAGTGTCCGAGTGGTTTGGGTTTCTCTATGTTAGTTTGAAATTAGAACAAAGTGTTTAGAACGAGTTGTTATCACTGGAAACGTACTTGCTTTGCTGCTATTATGTGCTTGTTAGTTTTTGTAGCTTTTATTATAATGACAATGATAATATCTTTTTGAATAATGTTTGAGTCTAGTTTCTTTCCAAGTGGTTCAGTGCCAAAAGAGCTTTTTATATTTAAGTTTCGGAGAAAAGAGAATAATACAGAAAGAAAACAGGTTGTTGTTCATCAAGGGAGAGAAGAGTGATTGTGGTTGCAGAGTTCTTGGGTGATTGCTTTGTCGAGCCAAGTTTCTGCATCTTCCATCATCTCGGGGCTTAACCGAACCATGAGAACGCAGAATTCGGTTTGGTTAAGAGCACCGTCTCCATCAAGGTCTCCTTCTCTAACCATACCTTCAGCGTCTTCCTTGCTCATTCCTTGAATCCCAAGTATCCCTGAGTTTCTCCTTAGACTCTCTGCTGTGATCACATCTCTCTCCGGATCCGCAAGCAAACTGAAACCTTTGCATAACTCTGATACAAACTCTTCAACATCCATCTTCTCCGCCATAATCGGCAACATATCTTCGTATTTGGTCTCCATCTTCGTAGTTGTTTCTAGTACCATAGATTTCTTGCTTGGTGGTTCCATTAGAGGAGAAAAATGATAATGGAGAGAGAGAGAGAGAGAAGAGAAATTGTGAACTACTAGTCGAATGGGAAATAGATTTATAAGTGGGCGTATGTGTACCGATGTGGTTGTCACGTTCGATAGAACCTAATCGTGTGGTCTAAAAACTCTCTTCTTACTGTTGGATTTCGAGAGTTGAAGTAACGAACGGCTGTGATTCAGTGATTTGGTGTGTACGGAAGCATCTGATTATTAGGTGGTTTCCTGGAAACTTCGAATGGGCCGTGAATACGACGTTTTCCGACTCCTATATACTATAATTTATATTTTATCAAAAGGGAAGAGAAGAAGTTGAAAGAGAGGAGAAGGAAAGTAATTTCGCAGAAGTTTCGTTTTCTTGATTTCTTCTGCCGGATCTTTCTCTCTCTCTTTTTGGTTTTATTAGTGTTATCTTTATAAATTGGATTCTCTTACAATAATAACGACACATCATAAGTTTATCTCTTTCTCCGTCCAAGTCCTAACTGATTTGACGTAAGAAGGGTCACCTAATCGTGTTATTTTGACTTGATCAAAGTTGATAAATTGAAGAATAGGGAAATTTTGTTTTACAAAAAAAGTTAAACAATAAAACAAAAATAAATTGAGACGTATAGTCCATTTTAGTTTTCCCTTTGACACAGCAAGTCAGACCATTGAGTGAAGAGTGTGAACCACACATGACACAACCTACAAGATTTCGAATTGCACATCTCTAGTGTTAGAAATCTTAAAATCTTAAAAAGATTAGTAAAACGACTGTCACACAAATATATTTACAAGTGTTATTTTAACATTTTTCACACAAATTTGAAAAGTTAATAAAAAGTCTTTTCTATCCTTATAAATATATTAAACAACTCTCTTTTTAATTAATACAGTATTGTAACAAAGTTAAACTAATATATTTGGTAATAAATTTGCATTGAAAACTCAAAACGGTATTTATTGTGAAACAAAAACAAAATTCTAAAATAACATTTTTTATGAAACGGTGGGAATAATTATTAGAGCAAAACTCAAAATAAATCGTGTTTAGTTTGTTATTACACGTACGGACATAAAAAAAGTAAAATTCATTTCAAAAGCAAAAGCTGCCAATTAATATCCATCATTTACCTTATTATTACTCCAAATTGCTCGTTTTTTCATATCAAATTAATCCATGCGATGCTTTTGATATTTGGAAAAGTGTAACTTAACAATCACAACATTTTTTTAGAGAATTTGGATTCAAAAGTTTATTTTGTCAAAATAAAGCTATCGTTCTGATTTCGTATACTAAGAACAGGATGAATATTATATTGATCAAGATACATAATTGTGGTTGTTGGGTTTAAACTTTGAAAAGACTAATAATGTTTTACGGAAACTTTTAAATCGATTACAGATATGAATAACCTTTTATGAGAACACTTAATTATATATACAGATAGAAGAAACGATGAATACATATCATGTAACACTCAAGAGATTCGTATTCACATATTCTTCTACCCACACATAACTCCCGTATTACAACATATAATCTAATTAATCAGCAAACCAAAGTGAAAAACCAACCCGAATTACCATCAAACCCAATTATAAAACATTTAAAAAAATAAATATTGATTTAGACAAAACAAAAAAACCCAAAAATAAGGAGAATAAAAAGACTATGCTGTGTTAGCTAAGTTCTGACAACTTTAACTAAAGTACCCCATGTGACTATGTGAGGCAAAATATCATGAAAGAGAATTAGAAAGCTAATTTCATAATCTCTTTTGATCATTTTGCTTCACCATGAAGATCCTCCTCCTGTAGTACTGAACATCCCACTCCAGTATCCATTATTAGGGCTTGAATTATTATTATTATTACCATGATTCTTCTGTTGTTGATTATCATCATGATCAACTTCTTGTGTTATGTTTGATGAAAGCTCCTTCATTTGATCCCCAAATGGAAACAAAACCCTACCTTGGTGATGATCATTATGAGCATCATCAGACCTGTTGTTGTTGCTGTGTCCAAGCCCTTGATGATCAGTCGAGAAAGAGAGATTACTTGGTTTGTAATCCACCATTGCTGGAAACCCTGAAGAAGTGTACAGCACATTGTTTGATGAATCCATCATTGGACCAGAAGGCATAAATGAGTTGATCCCTGATCTTGAAGAAACATTTACTCCTGTTCTTAAAAGCTCAAGAGCTGAAACAGGAGACGACGAAGAACCATAGAGAGAAGAAGATGAGGAAGGCTGATGATGAGTTATGTTTCCATTTCCTTCCATCTTAGGCATCTGAAGAAACTGAGACATGTGAACATGATGATTGTGATGCTGATCTTGCATGACCGGGAAAGACAATAAATTGAGGTCTTGTGCTGACCCTTTTGATTTATTAGGGATTTGGTTTGAGAAGAGAATTGGTGGGTTTAGATCTGGAAGTGATGTAGTCAAACCAAGTGAAGATGGTGTTGTCTGAAGGATGTTTGATGATGATGCACAAGAAGAAGATGATCTCTTGTTCTTTCTTGAGCTTCCTCCGACTGGAACATTCCTAAGAGATCCACCTTCGGTCCAATACCTTCGACAACCTTTGCAAAAGTATCTTGGTTGTGTGAGACTATAGTTGTTGTAGTAACAAAACTTTGTGTTGGTTGAGTTGCATCTTGGGCAGTTTAGTTTCTCTTGTGGTCTTGCTTTCCTCTCCACCACAACCGCCGTATTGTTGTTGTTGTTGCTTACGCCGGAGACGGTGGCTCCTGGGGCTGAGACGCCGTTTGATGTGAGAATGGGGTTTGGCCTTGCATTGGATGTGGTGTTTGATTGATGTGTGTTGTTATTAGGAATCATGATTTGCTCCATTGGTTTTACGTTCATCATTTCTTGAAATCCCTGGAACATTGAAATTTAAAGAGTAAATTAAAAAAGCCAAAAAAGAGGAGCTAATTAGAGTTTAATATAAACCCTAAATCAATATAGATCACAAGGACTCATATATTATAATAAGCTGATTAGGTCATGAGACCTATGATTTATTTCTATCATGCTTATCAAATTTGTAAGCACTAGTTAAACAGAAAATTTGAAACATGCACTTTAGATTTTCCTTGTTTAGTATCTTAGAGTTCTAGAGGATTTGGTGAAAAAGCAAAATAGATAACACTGAGAACAAAGATTAAATAACAAATCATGACTTTTATTTTATCTCTTTAATTGTCATAATATAATTATAATCTATGACTAATTACATAGAAACGCTGAGAAAAAGGTGTTAGCGAGGAGCTATAGTATATATCCCTAATCTTTTCTTTCCAACCTCGAAACCTACAAAAATGAGAAATTTTCCATGCAAATTATTCATTGAAGTATGTGTAAAACTCTTAAATACACATAATATATATCCCTATTCTCTATAACCACAAACACATCATGATCATGGTATTCATCTATCTCTTTATATATATATATATATGTATAATAACAAGATAAAATGGTATGAAAGCTTATATGGAACATTGAAGTGAGAAAGAGAAAGAGAAGAGAGAAAAGGAAGAATTAGATAAGAAGAATTAAGAAGAAACAAAAGAGAAGAGGCAAAGGAAAATCTTTTAAGCACCTGTGTCCACTTCGTAGCGTCCATGACTTCCGACAAAGAGAAAGCCAGAGAGAGAGAGAGAGAGAGATGTGTGGGTTTTGAGTAAAGGCCAAAGAGAAGAATGTTTTTTGGAGACTTTTTTTTTTATTTGCCTTTTCTTGTTTGTGAGTGATGGCTCTTCTATGCGTTGCCTTTCACTTTATGGATGATGAAAAAAGAGCCAGCGAAGAAGACGGAGAAGAGAAGCACCAATTTTAATTTTTTTTTTAACTTATTACCCAAGAGAATATATCTATAGTATACACATGTTGTTGAGTTAAATAAATCCGATTCTATTGGAGTATAGTTTGAATATGATTTATGGAATGTTGAAAATAAAATTATCTACCCGTCTAACATGCTTTTGCTAAGAAAATAGTAGAATAACGAAATGAGTTGACACAAATCGCATTTATTATGCCAATTAAGATGACCAATATGAACTAAAATTTTAATCTAAAGATTATACTATGATTTGTATAATTTCATAGTATCATCCGCCCAATTCGGGAGAAAACTATGGACTGAACTTTTAAGAAAATTTCGGTTATAAAAAGAATAAAAGTAGGAAAAAAAGAAAAAGTTGGGTTTGTTGATTTTGACTAGTGATGATGTCTCGTGACCGCTCTCTCTTGCTAGCTCTTTCTGGTCCCTCTAAATAAAATATACTTTTCTAAGAGAAAAAATCGTGTGTAAGGAATTATGTCCTTTTGTTAAATTACTATATTTATGAATGAAAATAAAACTCTTGTGTGTATCATATAATGCATAGTGTTAGTGGAACTATGAGTTGTATGCTATTTCTTGGCCTCCCATTTTGTGATTGGATACTATTTGTTGGCCATATGGTCCATCAAATCGCCTAGCTACATTTTTAAAATCCCAATACCATACCTATATGTATATACACCACATGTCTTGCGTACATGTGATTAGTGGCTTTGACACCTAAATTTAGCTCGACTTTGCACTTTACTATATCAATATATATATATATATATATATATTATTATACTGGTACCGATCTAGATTCTATGAAATTGATGAGATGAGTTAAAATATTGCGTACATGTAACTGTACATACAATTTATACAAGTTTGTATAATCAAAACTTACATTTAGACATATATCTTTATTCTGTCATTACATTTTTTTCAAAAAGAAAAATATAAGTGTCATTCTAGTATTCTTTTGTCTGATTATTACACTTCATAAAATATGTTACCAAACAAAATCAAAACATACTCACATTTATTTTATTTTAGCAATATATTTGGCTTTTCAGATGTGATAAAAGGTCATTAGATGCACACATATCTAAAGTTCAATATGATATTGATTTAAGTGATAAAGATGAGGATCAACATCTTATTTATACATAAAAAAACATGCCCATGAGACATGACATTTAAGTGTATGCAAGAAAAAATCATGAAACCAACGATAACCATGTCCATGTGACCCTTTTAGGTAAATGATACTACACGAGCCATAAAAGCAAAATTAAACCCTGCCGTCTTGCATACAAAAAAAAAAATCTATAGAATATTGGTTTAATGGATGAAGAAACTCTCTATCAATTCATAGATTCATTAGGCAAATTATCTTTTTCCTTCTTACGATTATACAACGAAAAGACTACTCCAAATAAATTTTTATTAATAAAATACGTATGGACTGCATCTATTTGGTTGGAATTTTCAAGGAGGAGAATTTTGAAAAAGAAGACGAGGGAGAGAAGAAGAATTAGGAATGAGAAGACCGACAGGAAGCGACAAAAAGGAGGTGGAGATGGGTCCCACTCTTCGTGGCGTGACTGAGATTTTTATTTTATTATTTTGCTTGCTTTTTTACAAATCTTAAAGACTGTTCCAGTATAATTTTCGTTCTTGATGTTGACATCTGTCTTCTCTTACCCAACACCCTCTCCCACCCAATCCTTCTCTCTCCATCTATCTTGTCGTTTTACTGTTCCAGCTTCCCCTTGCCTGCCGTCTTGCTTCAACGACTTACCAGATGCCACATGTCCTTCGATTTGCAGATTTTTTTTTCCTTTAATCATCGAGCATTATTATAGTTTAGGCCCAAAAGTAATCCTGGCCCAGTTTAGAAACAGAGTTAGTTAATCAAGTAATAGGCCCGATAGGCCGATACCACTAAGCAGCCGCAAACCGACGCCGTTTTTACACTGACGGTTCGCAAATGTGTGATGATATTATCACTCTGATATGGAAAGACCGAACATCGGTGACGAAGACGATGGCAACAGCTGTAGCGCCATGGAAGCAGCTTCTCTTTGTTGCGATTGAGTCGAACTCTCACCTAAGCCACTCTTCTTACGTTCAGCTCGTATGTGTTTTCTTTTCGATTTTGTTGTATGTTTACTTTCGCGTACAGAAACGAGCGATGTTCTTCATTTGCTGATGTTGTGTGTTCTCAGGCGACGATCGGTATTAACGGACGGCCTTCGAATCGCACCGTCGTATTCAGGTGATACGAATACGTGTTTTTCTCAGCTTAAATTATGCTATCTTCTCGTGTTTTGATTGCTTCGAATATTGAAAAATTTGTCGGTGGCAGGGGATTTGAAGAGAATAGCGACAGGATTAAAATCAACACCGATCTTCGTAGTCGTAAGGTCATATAAATTTCCTGATTATGTCGGCATTTGTTTTGTTGATTTTGGTTCTGTTTTATGATGTTGTGGCTTCGTTTCAGATAGAAGAGCTTAAGCATTGTCCGTTTTCCGAGGTAAGCAATGTCTTGTAAGGTCGATTTGGATTAGAATTGCCGAATTACGCTCTGATTATATGTTGTTTTCTCTCCAAGATATGTTGGTATTTCTCTGATTCCTGGGAGCAATTCCGGATCAATGGGAGAGTTGAGGTCATTGATGCCTCGAATCCTGATCAGACCAAACTTCAGGTCGAAAACACAAAACTCAGTTTAACAACTTCGTAACTATCCTGGGAAGGAAGAAAAGACTGTTTTGTCTTTACTTTTATGATGTCTTGATGTAGCAAAGAGAGAAAGCTTGGTTTGCTAATTCGTTGAAGTCAAGGCTAAATTACATCTGTCCTACTCCTGGAAGTCCGTACAACAGCGAGCAGCCAAACCAAGAAGTTAAATTAGATCCCTCAAGTGGTCCAGTTCCTGAGTATTGCCTGCTGCTTCTAGAGCCAGAAAAGGTTTTTTTTTATGTTTTTTTTTATATAAAAAACTCTTCCTTCTGCCTTCTGTTAGTCGTGGATTGTTTCGTTAATGATTCCTCTTGATGACAGGTTGATTACTTGAATCTGAAAAGTAACCAGAGGTTTTTGTTTTCGTCGATGATTAGTGGAACAGGAGACAAGTGCTGGACTTCAGAAAAGGTTAACGCATGATTAAGTTTTAATGTCTGAGACTGAGAGAGGGCGATTAAATAATTTCTTATATTTGTGGTGGATTTAGTTTATGTAGTATGTAGCAGTTCGTGATATTTTCAAATATTGTTTTTGGCTCTCAAGCAGTGTAGTGTGTATCTTTGCATTCTGGGTGGGATCATATTGAAAAATCCAAAAAAAATATGAATAAAAAAATCTGAATCTTTGTCTTCTATACCATAGTTCTCTCTATCCCTTTGAATGACATTTCGTTTGTTCTATAGTAATGAATAATAGCAGGCAAATGGAACCGTCTCATTCTCTATCTGTGGTTGTTACCAAAAAAAAAAAAAAAATCCTCTTCTGGAAAATACTTGCTCTGTCACCATTGAAGCTAGCACTTTGGAAGATCTGCAGGAGGATGAGGTAGGCTCTCTTGCACCGTCTTGCCATTTTTCACTATGATCATCGTGCTCATTCCCCATGTTTGATGGATGTCGAAATGGCAATGCAATAACCAGAGCCCTGTTCATTACAAAAAGAAGAAGAAACTTTATCAGCAAAACTGTCTATGTGGGTTGCGATGATGCTAAGTAAGAGTACCTGGATTGTTGGCAACAAACCGAATTGCAGCCCATCCTCCTACTGGAACTCCAATGGTGTTCAAGTAAGGAGGATCTTCCAGGTTGAATCTTGCTGTTCGTTGATCATAGTTCCCTGTGCCATAGCCAATGACGTAGAAGCTGTGTCCATGAAGATGAATTGGATGGTTCTCAGTTGTGAGTGTGCCTGTATTCTGGAAGATGATTTGTATCCTGCTCCCATACTCTAGAACTATTGCTCTTGTCCCATTTGCAGCTTGCGTGTCATTGGCTATGTCATTGGGTGCTCCATTGACAAAGTCATAGGCCTTTTCCGGCGAGGTTGGGAAATCTAAAGTGAAGTATCCTTCCAGTTTCTTGTAGTAAGCTTCCAAGATTGAGACTTTAGGCTCGACGAAGCTGATGTTGTTCATCGATGCTGCTAATCTCCCTTTGCTGGGGCCTTGGCACTTGTTGTTTGGGTTCTCAGAGTTACACTTGTTTACATTTATCCCAATTGTGATAAAGAGACGAGCATCGATATCTTTTGGAACATCGACTGTGTTTAGACTTCTGAGCCCATCCATGACAGTCTTAACAGCAACATTATCGTTGTAAACAGGTAACTTAGCTGGTAACGCTACACTGTTGGGCAATGCACCAAAGTAATGGAAATAAGCTATCGCTGATGTGTTTTGAAACTTGACATTCTTGGCAGACTCGTACGGACCCATGGCGATGGAGTATTTCCCAATGGCTTGGTCAGCTGTGACAAGAACGTTCATTGTCTGTCCGGGCACGAGCATCACACGCTCTGTTGTGAAAGGTTTTGTGTACTCGCCATCTACTTCCACTATGGTCAACCTGTGATTAGCTATGGTGAAGAAGCTCTCCATGTTAATGCCAGCGTTTATCAGCCTTAGCAGGTATGTCTTCCTTGGCACTATCTCAATCTTATAAACATCTGAAATATAAAGATAAAGAAACAAAACAAGGATCACAATCTGTTTTTTGTTTTTGTTTTTCTCGTTGTAAACCAATCAATAGCATTTCTTGATCTTTATAGCTATTACCTTTAGAGGAGCAGTTATAGTTAGGTCCTGGCTGACCATTAATTGTGAATGCATCTGCTGGAGGAGGAGGTCCTCCACTCTCCAGTACATGTTGTTCCAGCTCTACCACGTTCTTAAGCCAATACTCTCCTGAATTATCATGAAATGACAAACAACTCAGTAAACGCAGTTAGTGAAAGAGACCGACTTTGTTGAAGAAGAAAAGATGACCTAGGAGAATTGAATGCTCGCTGAAGGGTTTCTTGAATGGGTAAGGAACAGAAGCTTTAGGATATACAATAAGTGGACCGTATACTGTAGCCCTTAGCCAAGAAAAGTGTGCATGCCAAAAAAATGTTCCCTTTTGTTGCGCTACTGTGAACTCGTATGTGAAACTCTGTCCACTTTGAATTGGACATTGTGTGATATAAGATGGACCATCATACCAACATGATAGTTTTTGCTTTATACCATGCCTGCACATAGTAGAAACAAACGATTCTTGTTAGGCTAGATTCGTCTTCTAAGTATTAATGATGCACATGTTTGTATTCACCAATGAATTGTGGTGTTATAGGGGGTCATGTTGATGACTTTAACGACAATTCTGTCGTCTTCTTGAGCGGATATTGCAGGGCCAGGGAATTTCCCGTTGATTGTTACAATCTCTTTGGTCTGGCATAGTCTTGTGAGTCTCATTGTTTGTACCTGTTTGAAAAAGTAAGTAACACAACAGAGTTCTGTATAAGATGATATATTGACTATGGTTTTAATATTGTTAATTCTTACTTCGAATTGGTAGAAGCTAGTTGCAGCGCTAATCATGCCAACGTTCAGTACTTGAAGAATGAACAAGAAACAGCTAAGACGGAACAAGGCTGAAGTGGTCATCTTTAATGGAGAAAGAGACAGCGAGATATGAGAGTGAAAGGTACCGATTACTGAAACTGGTTTTTATAGTCTTTGAAGGCGAAAACTAGGGAATGATAATGTATGCTTTCGAAAGAAAGTTTCATGATTTTGTAGAGTTGGGAACAGAGACACTAGTGATTATAAGGTGTTGGGAAGGCGTGACTTGTTCCTTGACCCCAGCGTGAGATTTTGAAGGCAACTCACGGGTTGCTTACTCTAAAAGGAGATATATACATACTCTTAATTAACGTCTTCTCTTTTGATTCTGGATCAGTAAAAGCTTTTATACATTATGCTTCAGGATTCTCTACCAAACTTGTGAGGGATATGAAACTGCTGATTGACACCTGGACCGACCCGGTTTTCACCGGGACTACAAAGCAACCTTCTCCTTCAAGCTCTGGTGACTATTTCTTTCCATCTGTCATTGTTCATCAGTTAGTTGTTAACTTGTAATGATTTCGTTTGATTTACCTGTATGATTATACATACGTGTATTAGGATTAGCCGGGATAAATGAGGTGCATGATTTAGCATCATTAGAGATTGTTTAGTAGGGTCGTATTGGTATTATGGACATTACACGATGATGTTGTTTATGGTTTTTTTTTGTAGCGTGTGGTATAAATAGAAAGAAGAAGAAAGAGTAAGAAAGGATCAAGTTCCTTGGTCGGTATTTTGGATGGACTTAATTTCTTTATTGGTTGTGTCATCATCAAAATTCGTGCACGCCTTAACTTGTCAAGAACTCATCTTACTACTAGTACAGTATCTCTTTTTTTAAACACTTACAGATTTGAAGAACATGATGATTGTTCGAATTTGACCGACTCATTTTTTTCATACTCGAAAGGGGAAAAAGCATTTATTTATACCAGAGGTTGTTTTTGTACATTGTTGAGTTTGAACACCAAATCATTCGTGTTCGTCTATACACAACGGATCAAAAAAAGAATAATGTAAAACGATGCCATTCCGCTCAACGTTAACAAAATGTTCATGTATTTTTTCAAGAATAACATTAGCGATTTAGCGTTATAAATTATGAGATTTCACATGCTATACAATGAAGATAGATTTAAGAGAAAATAAGCCCAAATCAGAAATGGGGCCCAATAATTAATCGTGGTTAGTAACATTGTGTAGCGCAACCGGGAAAATAAGTTTTGGTAGCCTAATAAGATTTGTGTTTCCGTTAAAAGCCGTGGAAAATGTCGGAGACGAGTCACGACGCGATCTCCGTCACAGATCCGATCGATCAGTTACCTCTCCGGCTACTCAGATCGGAAATCGTTCCACCTGCTCCAACACGATCCCAATCTTCTATCGACTGGCTTCCCGACTTCGCCGGTTACTCATGGCTTGCTTACGGAGCATCCACTCTCCTTGTGATCTCTCATCTCCCTTCCCCTCTCCGCGGCCAAGACTCCACCAACGGACCTTTTTTCCGTCAGGTGCTCGAGGTTTCCGCCGACGTTTCTTCTCCAGTTACCGCCGTTTCCTGGTCTCCTGTAACGCCCTCTCTAGGCGAGCTCGCGGTTGGGTCTGGGAACTATATCTGCCTCTTCACCAGTGATTTGAATGGTGAGCCTACATATATATATTTAAAAAGCTTTTCGACATTTTTAACAATTCGTATATCCAATCTTCCGAGTTTAATTAGTATAGTACTGATACTGATACTGGGAAAATGATAAGAATGTGTGTCTTCCTTCTCCAGTTTTTAGTTTGGATATCTTAAGTTTGTATGTCTTTACTCATATTCAGGTTCTTTTTGTTGGAGTCAGAATGCCATATTGGTGCAAGCAACAAAAGTCGAAGCAATTGAATGGACAGGATCCGGGGATGGGATCATTGTTGGTGGAACTGATATTCTTGTGTGGAAGAGAAGGAACCAATCTTGGGAAATAGCTTGGAAGTTCCCTGCAGGGGATCACCTTCATGATCTCGTTTCCTCCACATGGTCACTCGAGGGTCCTTTTGCCACAGCAACTTCTTGGACCACGTTTCCAGCCGACTGTGATGACGCAGGTAAACGTGTCTCGGCCTACTATAGTGACGGGGAGTCATTTCGTACAGTTGAATTGCCTCATCCGCAGAGAATATCCATGATTCAGTGGAGACCTGTGGAAGTATGTATAGGGAAATCGATAAGGAATGTGCTAATGACATGTTGCTTGGATGGGGCTGTAAGGTTATGGAGTGAGGTAGATGGTGGAAAGACTAAAAAGGGCGTGAAAGATGTGAATGATCATAAAAGATCTTTTTGCGTGGTAGCTGTGATAGAGATAAATCAGGTCTTGGATGGCTATTTGGGCAGAGATATATTCATTTCTTGGGGAACTCGCACATCTGGTATATTGAAAACCATTGAAGGTGATAATCAGTTGTTTTCTGTTGAAAAGTATGATCATGAGAATGTTGGCAGCTGTGAGTGGTTGGTAGGGCACGTCCTTGGGAAATCGGCTTCTTTGTGGGCTGTCCATTGTCTTGATGACATCTCGCCTATGAGGTTTCCGAGGATCACATTGTGGGCGAGGCAAAAATCAAATGAAATCGGTGTGGAACCACTCTCTCTAGCTGATGCTACAGGTGGTTCTGATCATTTACCGCTGAGAAAAGCTTCTGTATTGAGAAATAACCTTTATGGCACACCGCTTATCTGCTCGTCAATTTATATATCTCCGCGGAATACCATTCATTGGTCTTCCTTGCACACAATAAAATCACATGCTTCAGAAGATTCATCTCCACATGAATCCAGTGTATTGAAGTGCGTCACGGAACAGATATTAGATCTTGATGGTCACGGTGGGAAAATCCTACAGATTGCCTTCGATCCTATCATATGCGAGGCGGGATACACTGCTTCTCTGGATTATAATGGTTTGGTAATAATCTGGTCCTCTTCTGATTATTTGAAGCGTGCTACTGACCATCCTATATCAGTGCCCTCTTGGAAACCTTGTGGACGGCTTCAAAATCGAGAGTTAAGACTGAAGTACACGAGTATATGCTGGGCACCGTCATCATCGAATCGTGAAAGATTTCTACTTGTGGGACATGTAGAAGGCGTTGATTGCTTTAGCGTGAGGAATTGTGGGAGAGGTTATGATGGTTTTATGACCCATTACATATGTACCATACCATTTTCAGTTAGCCGCCCTTTGGAGAATGGCCCGACCAGCATATTTGCAAGACCTCTGTCTAATTCTTGTGGAAAGACATTCAAAAGTAACAGATTCTTGCTTTTGAGTGTATGGATGAAAGAGAAACGGTTTGAGGCTCTGTCATGGAGAGTGACCTTGCATCATTTCGATGCAGCAGGAAGCACCTGCGACTGTGATTTTCATGATTTTGATAGTACTGAATCGGGCAAGTGGTTGTTCGAAGAGACTTTTGATGGTAAGAAAAATTGCATTGCTGTTAGATCGTGCTCTTCAGAAATACCTGAATCTCACCGTTGCGATGAAGTTACCAGTTTTGCTGTGGTCATTCCAAGCAGCAGGGCGCTAGAGAATGACATGAATATTGAAAGTCAAGCTTATACTATGGCAACTGGCCAAGCTGATGGCTCTTTAAAACTTTGGAGAAGTAGTCTTCAGAAAAGTTCAACCCCTTTCAGTCCGTGGGAGCTTGTTGGCATGCTCACCATTGGTCAAAATCCTGTCAGCGGTATATCTCTGACTGATTCAGGACACAAGATAGCAGCCCTCTGTACAGATAATCATTCAAAAGCTGTTTGCACAATTAGTATATGGGAGATTGTACACCTTATAGATTCAGGGGTTTTCATACTAGAGGAGAAGTTACATGTTGATGCAGAGGTTGTTGCTGTAAGATGGTTAGCTGTGGGCAATGGTCAGCTACTGGTTGGAGTTTGTACACAGAAGGAGATGCGGATGTATGGTATTGCTCGGCAGCCCTGCAAAAGTTCCAGTTTCGCCGTCTCTGATTATTCTCCAGAGTCACAAACTTGGCAATGCTTTGCTGTTACTCGTACATTTTCTGCTATTCATGATTTATGGTGGGGATCCAAAGCCATGACTGCCCTTGTTCATAATGATTATGTTAGTCTACATGGTCAATGGCTGGCTGTTATTGATAAGAAGCAAAAGATCGATAACAATCCAAGAATTTTTGCAGCCAATCTTTCCAACCTAGTAAATGCTACAGAAGAAGGCAGAGACTCTGAATTGTTATCTGATTCTGGTATTAATGATCTCAAAGAAGCTAATGCGGCATCTATAAGCAGAGCGTGTATTCCTCTACCTCTAACAAGTAATGCAATTGATGGGTGGCAATCCAATAGTATGCCTTTAACTGGGGCCGCATATGGTTCAGATACTATTAATGACATTACCAGCATGCTAAATATGGTGGAGAAGTTAGGAGGTGCTTTGCCACTTTATCACCCTCAAGCCCTCCTTGTTGCTATACGTTCAGGTGATATGCTGCAAGTTTTTTTTTTGTTTTCCTTCTTCAATAAGTTCTGAAACTAAGCTGTTTGCTTTTATTTAGCCTTCCCTTCTTATTTTTCCTTCGTGCAGGGGCATTACCTGTGTCATGCGGTTAATTTCACCTTAGCTAAAGATTGTTAACTCTGATGTGTTCAGGCAATTGGAAACGAGCAAGCGCAGCTTTAAGGCATCTTGCAGAATATATTACGTCAAGTGATGCCTCCGAGAAGGATTACGCTGTAAAGTCAGATCTCTGTCCGGAGATCCTTTTGTCAAAATATTACGAAGGGTCTCTCTCCAATGGCCCAAATCTTAAGGATTTCCACTGGGGTGGAACATCTGGTTCAATGCTGCAGCATTCACAGTTTCAGTCAAATTTCAGTATGGATACTTATGGTCCCAATAGTAGTCACAGTTCACCTGCAACAGACTTGGAATTTAGTGGCTTCTGCGAGCAGCTGAAGAAGTTATCAGATGGAGGAAATATTTCCAGGATAGAAAAGATGCAATATTTTGCAATTGTTGACCTTCTTTGTGAAATTAGTAATCACCATTCTACTTCTGTCTATGCAAGTCTTGATGAAGCTGGGAGAAGGTACGATAGTCCGTGTAATTTTCTTAGATCTAATATACAAAGGACTAATTAAATAACATGGAGTTGCCAAAGAAATAAGTTCCATCACGTATGTTTGTTTTTTCCGTTAAATTGTAAAGAGAGTTTCATTCATGGACCAATATTGATAAGAGGGGCAGTTTTTTGCTTTGCTTCATGAATGATACTTTATGCTGATTGGTATTCACGGATTTTTGTGCTCTTTCTGCTGTGTAGATTTTGGGTCACACTTAGGTTTAAACAGCTGTACTTAGCTCGAAGTTCTGGCAAAACAGCATTTATAGAGGAGTTGGATATTGACTCTAGTATGATAGGATGGGCTTTTCACTCAGAGTCTCAAGAAAATTTGGTTGGTTCTCTTTTACCCAATGAATCATCATGGCAACAAATGCGATCACTGGGTTTTGGATTTTGGTATTCAAATGTAGCACAGTTGCGTTCACGAGTAAGTTTCAAAATTTAATGCTTGGTCCATACTAGCTGTGCTTGCTTTCGTTAATGATGTTCTCTTTTGGTACCAACAAACAGAGCGTAAAGGAAATAGATCTGCATCTCTTATTTTGATGCTATTTCCTTTCTGTAGATGGAGAAACTGGCGCGACAGCAATACCTGAAGAACAAAAATCCTAAAGATTGTGCGCTTCTCTACATAGCTTTAAATAGAATTCAAGTTTTGGCTGGTCTTTTCAAAATAAGCAGGGATGAGAAAGATAAACCCTTGGTGGCTTTTCTTTCACGCAATTTTCAGGTAGTTGGTTCAAACCATATTCGTATTGGGATGATATGCTCCTTTTCACCTTTTTTATTTCTGTACGGCTTCTGGGATCTAGGATATTATATTAAGTGACGTATCTCCTAATTTGATACATCGTTTCTTCAGGAAGAGAAAAATAAGGCAGCAGCCTTGAAAAATGCATATGTGCTAATGGGTAAACACCAACTGGAGCTGGCTATAGGTTTTTTTCTCCTTGGAGGTGAAGCTTCATCTGCGATAAATGTTTGTGTGAAAAATCTTCAGGATGAGCAGCTTGCCCTCGTAATTTGCCGGCTTGTTGATGGGCAGGGTGGGGCCATGGAAAGTAATCTTATAAAGAAATATATACTCCCGTCTGCAGTTCAGAGAGGAGACTTTTGGCTGGCAAGCCTTCTTAAGGTAATTATAATTGCTTGTGAATTCGCTTTTCTTTTTTTGGGGTTTCAAATTATGACTATGAAGCTATCTCTGGTTTATACAGTGGGAATTAGGAGAGTACCACCAGTCATTTCTTGCTATGGCCGGATGTCTTGAGAATCCTGTTAATGAGAGCTCTACTGTTACTTCAAATCACATCTCTTTTGTGGACCCTAGTATCGGCCTATACTGTCTAATGTTGACTACAAAAAATAGTGTGAAGAATGCTTTGGGGGAAAGAACTGCTTCAAATCTTAGTAGATGGGCAATTTTGATGGCTTCTACCGCCTTCAGCAGATGTGGGCTCCCGGTAAGTTACCTTTTTTAATAAGTTGTTATCCTTATCTGCATTTTTATTGATCATACGGCCCGTATGATACGGCAGAGTATATCCTTTAGACTTTGATTTCTTTTATTGTTCCTGAGATTGAGTTTGGTCGTCGGTGCTGTCAAATCTGAATTTATCTTCTTTTAATGAGTTGTTAGCTGGAGGCGTTAGAATGTCTTCAAGCATCTGCCAGCGGTCATGGTGGCATGCATCGGGCTAGTGGGCCAAGTAATGGACATTTGCGTACTCCACATGGTGTTCTGGAGCTTTCTGTTCCTGATTCATCTAATTGGGTATCAAGTGGTGTCTCATCTACTGTGGACACTCATTTTAGATTGGGTTTAGCCGCCCAGTTCCTCTCAAAGCTATTACGGGAAGCAACTGCACTCTTGATGAATTCTGAAATTGTTTCCTGTGAGAAACTGTCAGGATTTCATCATAAGCTACAAACAGCTTTGGAGCTATTTAACCAGAGGTTTTCATTGTCGTCATCTTGCCTACGTAATATGGTATGCGTTCTCCACTACGAATACTTGCACATCATAAATGTTTTCTCAGTGAGGCTAATTTAACAACATATGTACGTTTGATTGCCATGTGTAATCTCTTTCTTTGTTTTCTGTCGGCAGGTGATTCTGTCAGCAGACACCCGTGGGTTACTATCCATGGGGTACAAACTGTTTCAGGAAAATTGTTCATCAGGAGTCTCGGTAGACAAGTCTCACACAGATGAAGATCTCATCCAAAATTCAGCTTTGTGTAAATTGGTTCTGAAAGCGACTGAAGAGAAATCACTCGTATTATCACGTATCATTGCTGCATGCAGTGTCACTTGCTTACACTCAGTGCCATGCTTTGAGGAAAACAAGGTGTCATCTGGAACTGAGCCAAAGTGGTCCAATGCTTTGCGATTTTACTTTCAGGGAATTCTGCAATCGTTCTCTAGTTTAAAGACTTCTTTAAGGCTGTGCTTGGGCTCCTCTGAGGAAAACCTGAAAACGAGACTCGCTGTTGTTCTTGATTTAGTCGAGTATTGCTCAAGACTCGCAATGGCCTGGGTTCTGAGAGATGTAAATTCTCTTTCTCGAATGGTGCAGCCCCTTACAGAAGCATATTTTCATGGGCATGTGCCTTCTGAGATTGACTTGGAAAGCCTGAAGAGGGTATACCACCAAGAAGTTTCTGTTAATGTTCCAGATGCATCAGATGTAGGAGTTAATTCTATTGTTGAGAACAAAGAAGTTGGCTATCCAGTGTCCTCAATTCCGGAAGATGAAAGGCGTTTTGTAGCACAAGCATGTTTCTGGAAGCATGTTTCAGACTTTGTGAAACATAAGCTGGTATCTCTTTCGATCGATTTAGATGATGGTATCTCGAATAGTGTTTCGTCTGAAAAATTTGATGTTCAGACATCATCGGATTCCAGTGATGACATTGTATTTGTGACTGAGAAGATCATGTCCGTTCTGGGAAGAACACTGATTAGCACCCTTGCTCAACTCTCTTCCTACCATGTAAAACAACTTGTATTGCTTTTGAAACTGAAAATAGAGAAGAGAATCCAGGTTCCTACCTTGTTATGGCTGCACGTGCACGAATGTCGGGAATCTCAAGCTTTAATTAATCGAGCTATCCCAGATGCAGTTATAGAGAATGGAGAAGACAACGGTGACCTTGCAGTTTCTATGAGGTTTTGGAAGCTTTGTGTTGATCCTCATTTAGTATTGGAAGCGTTCTTGCTAGAAAATTTTGATATATTTGAGTGGTCAAAATATAAGCCATTGGAAGATTGGAGCGATATGTACAGAGAAGTAACCGGGAAGAATGAGGCCAATGTGCCATGCAATCAAGATGGTAGGAATGAGGTGGCTTCACTTGCAAGCCACGCTTCAAATTCTTCGCCGAAAGCTACAATAACTGCCAATGAAAATTCTCCTTTCCAGAACCCCAAAGAAATCCACAAGAGGACAGGGGAGCTTATAGAGGTAATTGTTTTACTTACATCGACGAATAAGTTACTGATATTCTTTGGTGATACTTTGCTATGTTTGGCGATTGAGTATTCTTATCTTTCTAACAGGCCCTATGTATCAACGCCATCAACCATCGGCAAGCTGCATTAGCTAGCAACCGCAAGGTCAGTTATTGTCGCAGTCTGCCTGCCGTTGTTCTAATACTATTTTTTTGTGAATTTTGAGAAGTTGTAGTAACTTGGACTATGCATAAGATGAGTCTGAATCCTGGCAAACCTCCAATCATTTTATGTCTTTAGCCTGCATCAGTATTTCGAGATAAAAGTTTCTGATGATATTGCATGTCGCCATAGCAACACCAAGTTTATGTCTATTTGTTGTTGTAGTGTATTCTTATGCGTAATGCTAATGTGGCATGAGACATAAACACATTCCTGAATGTGGATTCTGTGACATGCAGGGTGTCATTTTCTTTAACCTTCAAGATGGTAGTTCCTGCGATGATCAGTCGAAGTATATCTGGTCAGATGCTGACTGGCCACATAATGGTTGGGCTAACTCTGAGTCAACTCCTGTTCCAACATGTGTCTCACTCGGTGTTGGTCTTGGAGACAAGAAAGGAGCACACCTTGGATTAGGTGGGGCCACTGTTGGTGTTGTTTCTCTTTCCAAGCCTGGGAAAGCTCACAGAGTTCCGGGTTACACTGGGTTAGGAGTCTCTGGTCTAGGTTGGGAAACTCAAGAAGATTTTGAGCAGGTTGTTGATCCTCCCCCAACAATTGAAACTGTTGTAACGAGAGCATTCTCTAGTCACCCAACAATGCCTCTCTTCTTGGTCGGCTCAAACAACACTCACATTTACTTGTGGGAGGTATGAGCCTAAGCATTTGCATCATCTGTTTAATTACTTTTGTTTCATTTCGCTTTAACCATAAGAAATGAAGCATTTCTTAATATACCTGTGCATCTTATTATGCAAACATTACATCTTGCAGTTTGGGAAAGACAGAGCTACTGCAACTTACGGTGTTCTGCCTGCTGCAAATGTTCCTCCTCCATATGCTTTGGCGTCAATATCAGCAGTGCAATTCGGTCCGTGCGGACACAGATTTGCGAGCGCTGCTCTAGATGGAACGGTATGCACTTGGCAATCAGAAGTTGGAGGAAGAAGCAATATCCACCCTGTCGAATCATCTCTTTGCTTCAATGGCCATGCATCGTACGTTTCATGATCCTTAAGTCTCCTAGTTCTTGTTCACTAATGTGGTAAAAGCATCCATGGCACCCAATCACGAAGAAAGCGACAATTTTGTTCTGTTGATATGGTTGCAGAGATGTGGAATATATTAGTTCGAGTGGATCTATAGTTGCAGCTTCAGGATATAGCTCAAGTGGTGTCAACGTAGTTGTATGGGATACTCTAGCTCCCCCTTCAACCTCTCAGGCATCTATCAGTTGTCATGAAGGTCTCTTTCAATAACACAATTTGAAAAGTCCGTCATTTTCACCATTACTATCATTTTCACATAATCGTAACTCTGTTTTTGTATTTCTTCCACGAAGGTGGTGCACGCTCTATCTCGGTATTTGATAATGACATTGGCAGTGGCTCAATTTCTCCTATGATTGTAACTGGTGGCAAAAATGGTGATGTTGGATTGCACGATTTTCGGTATATTGCAACCGGTAAGATGAAGAAGCAAAGGAACTCTGACGGAAGATCTTCAACTGATGGAGATCAGAACAAGAATGGGATGCTTTGGTATATACCAAAGGCTCACTTAGGTGCGAAACCTTTACCCTCCCTGACTTGACCTTCATGTTCTGTCTAAACCGGAAAATATTTATCTAATAAATATGGTTGGTGCAAATATTAGGGAGTGTAACCAAAATATCGACAATCCCGCGAACGAGTCTGTTCTTGACGGGAAGCAAAGACGGAGATGTTAAACTTTGGGATGCAAAAGCAGCAAAGTTGATTCATCATTGGCCTAAACTACACGAGAGACACACTTTCATGCAGCCAAACTCTAGAGGCTACGGTGGAATCATCCGGGTAAGTATCAGTTTTGATCTATTTGGGTTTGGTTTAGATTAAACTCAGTTTCTGTATCATCGGTTCAAGTTTGTGTTCTGTTGAAAATCTTTGGTGCAGGCTGGGGTGACTGACATACAAGTTTGTACGAATGGGTTTATCACTTGTGGTGGTGATGGCACTGTAAAGTTAGTCAGCCTCAGAGATTCCTACGAAGATGTATAATTAAAAAACATTTTCCGGGAAACTATTACAGCCGAGAAAGCGAGTGTTTAGTTTCAACGTGATTTTTGATAAAGTATTTTCAGATTCCTGATTTTTTTTTTGTGTGCCTGTAATGTAAGTTTGTTTCTTTCTCTATGGCATTGGTGTATACACGGACATTTGAAGCAGTGGAATGAATCTTGAGTTGACGCCCTTAAGATATATATTTAAATTTATCTTTGACTTGACTTCAATACACGATCATCTCTATTTATCTATCTTTGACATGGTTGCATCGGACTTTGACCGGATTAATCCGATTTGAGTCCAATCAGATTGGAGATTTTAAGTTTGAATAAAGATTTATGTTTATCAATTGCTAGGATTCGTTCAGCTATTATTTTACAACTGTATATATATAATGCTAGTGTATATTAAGATATTCAATTCTGTTTTGAAGATTCTAAATTTTGGTCTAGTTTTTGCTTTTTCTCCCTGCAATTATTTAGGTACGGTACAATAGAACCAAAATAAACCTGAACAAATATTTAGTTCGCTTTTTTTTTTGTATATATGATTTTGTTCGGGGGTGGGTTTAATAAATTATGAAAATCTCTGACGGCTTTCGTTGAAAGAACCTGGCCGCGATTGTATTACGTAGTAGATTATATTATCTTGTGATTTATTTATTAACAGAGCCATAATCTGTGTGATGCAGACGAATTGATATGGATCATCAATTCAGATGTTTGATTAAACCCGTTATTATTCATAATATAATTAAGTAAAGAAAAGGGTCCATTTCATCAGATAATTATTCTAAAGAAGTTGGTTGCATATATATTGTTTTAATTATGACGAATATATTAGTGCTGACATAAAGCATCTTATTAGAAAATCTTTATTGTTTAATTTTTATAAGGATCACGTAATAAAAAAATATCTACTGTAACTGTCAATCGGAGAAGTGGAGAGAGAAAAATTATGAATTAACCATAATGACTTGAAGAAAATTTGCTTCACCTAACGTTCCAATTACTAGGCGACGCCACATTTCTCTCTCTGTACCTAATTTTCAAATCTATTTTAAACGAAGTTTAACACGTAAGAAATCGAGGTTTATATTTTCAAGATTTCTTAAGGTAATTGAGGCTAACATTACAAATAACAAAATGGGAAACGTTATCAATGTTTTAGGAAATGTTAGATGTTCGTCAATCATTAAATTAAAGTAATCGATCTAAAGTAACTACTAGACCAGATAATTCATTAACTAATCAAATACTAATTTATTCGATTTTAACTAAATAATAATTTCAGCCAGCAACATTACAATATTTTGTTTTTGTTTACTGTTATTCATTAGGACATAGCGCGTGGCGCGTATAATGAAAAGCCAGATTTCCCTCCAAATAATGTAGATAAAAGGTCTTATCCGTAAAAGGAAGAGAGAGAAGCCTTACTCGATCTTCTTGTTTCATGCCACGTGTAATTGATATCTAATCGAACGGTTCTCGTGTGAAATCTATGGGCAAATCTGTGGACTCAAAGACTCGGAAACATAACTATGGGTCCTAGAAAAACGGTGCCGTTTAGCGGAAGCTTGCGTGCTGAATGACACAGGAGGAAAACGATAACTGCAAGATTCAAAAGCTTAATCGGAAGCAAACAAAAAATCTCTGACGACTTCAAAAAAAAATATCAGACAACTCTATCTTTCTTTTTTTCCCCCTCTTCACGAGAGTGACTTATCGATTTGTTAAATCTGATTGATTCCTTTTCCGTCGTCCCTGACTGATTACGGTGTTACTCTCTCCTTCTGGTTAGTTTTTTCGTTTTTTGAAATTCTGCAAATTATTGTTGTTTCATTGAGATTTCTCGTTTTTAGTTGATGATTATGGTCCCGACAGTTTTAGGTCATCATCCGCTGATTTCGTGTCTTGTTTCTCATCGGGTCTGATGTTTTTCGTGTCTGTGTGTGTGTGATTTTCTGGGTTTTATAATTTAGTTTAATTTTGGGGGGTTTGATTCTAAATTGATTATAATTGCAAAAGAATAATTGTTTGGTTGGTAGATTGAAAAAGAGTTTGCTTAAATTTGACCCAGAATCTGGCTCTGATTTGTTTGCTTCTGATAAACTTAGGAACTAATTCTTCGATTTCCCTTAAAGCAAACCATCAGATTCTCTCTTATTGAAAAAGGGTTTGTAAGCTTTTTGGTGATGGATCTGTCTTCTCTTTCTCCCTTAGAGGTTATATCTGGCCATCTCAGAAAGATTCTTCCTTTAAAAAAAAAAATGATTCATTTTTCTTACATGAATGGAATCAAATTGGTTTAGTAAGAATTTTGCAAAAACTGCCTTGATTTCTGAATTCAGATTGATCTCGAAATTGATTGGCTTTTTTCAATCTCTTTGCCTTAATTTCAGAGTTATGGTGAAATGATGGCAGGAGCTGAAGCAAGAGCAGTGTGGCAAAGAACAGTTAACCGTTGCTTCGTCCAAGAAGACGCTAAGAGAGCTCCCAAGCTAACCTGTTGCCAATCCTCATCATCGTCTTCATCGACTACTTCAACTAAGCAGGTTGAAGATTCTGCATCTTCTCGAGCTTCTGTTGATCCACAGAAGCAACCACCTCGTGCAGGTCTCATGCCTCTTCATCGAAACCCGAATTTCCCTGAGCTGTTACCCCACAGCACGAGGTTTTGGGGCCATCATCATCAAGTGAAGACGCCATTAGAGGCTGAGGTTGATATCTCTGACAAGAAACCGGATTCATTCAAGTCCGACAGCTTTATAGACTTGATGGAAACAAGTGAGAGTTATGATGAGCCGTCTGAGAAAAAGTTATCAAATGAGCTCTCTTTCGATCCGAGTTCTCCATGGAATCCTCTCTCGAGCGAGAAAGCTGGACCGTGGTGGCGAACTACGGATAAAGATGAGTTAGCTTCCTTGGTTGCACAAAAATCTCTAGACTTTGTTGAGAACTGTGATCTACCAACACCACAGAAGATGAAACGCTCTTACTATGGTAGTCCACGTCGTCTCGACTCTGATGGATTCAGAGATTACTCTGTCTCTAACCAAACCATCCACGAGCACGGGCCAAGCAAAGGAAACAGAACCGAGGATTCGTCTGAGCCTGGTTTGAGCAAATCGGAGCTGCTAGAAGCGCTGAGGCGTTCTCAGACGCGAGCTAGGGAAGCGGAAAACATGGCGAAAGAAGCGTGTGCAGAGAAAGAGAACTTAATGAAGCTCTTGTTCAAGCAAGCCTCGGAGCTTTTCGGGTATAAGCAGTGGCTACAACTGCTTCAGCTCGAAGCACTTTACCTCCAAATGAAGAACAAGAAGACTGAGAGCAGCAACAACAACGAGCCACCGGTTTCCATGCCTTGGAGCAATACGAGAGCAAGAAAACCGGGGAGAAAGAGAAGGAGCAAAAGGGCTAAACCGAATGCAGCTAAGTATGCGGTTAGTTTAGCGTTGGGGATGAGTCTTGTTGGTGCCGGTTTGCTTCTGGGATGGACTGTTGGATGGATGCAGATGCTATCTTTTTAGTCGAAACTGAAAGAGAAGAAGAAGAAGAGGAGAGAGGCTGCGAAAGGTTTTATGGAAAAATTTCACTCTTTTTCTCTTTGATGATGACCTTTAAAATGTGAGTGCAGGTTTTGGATTTCGTTAATGAGAATGTAAATTGTTGTAAGAATTTTGTTAATATTGGGTTTCTCGAGTTTGGTCCTTTCATAAAAATCATATGAAATGATCTTTTCATGTAACATCTGCATATTTTATAGCTATATATAAGCGGCAGAAAAGCATACTCCTTCTGTTTTATAAAAAATGTTATTATAAAGTTTGATTTTTTTTTTTAATAAAATATGCACATTACTTTTCAATACAGAATTTTAAATAAAAACCCAGTTTTGTTTATGATTTTTTGCATCTTTTCAATACAAAACCAAGTTTCCTATTTTTGGTTGTCCAAATCTTTACAGTTAGGAATAGCGGACCTTTTGCATCATTAGGGAACTTCTATTAACAATGAATTTTCAGATTAAGTATAAATGGCTTCTTGATTCTACAAAAATTTTATATTGTATTTTTTATTTGCTTATTCTTACCACTGATTTTGGATGCAATTGGTAAGATTTGTTATCTCAGCCGCAAAATAATCACTAATGTACATGTGGTGACTAGCGGTACAATTGTTGAAGTCATGAAGTTGAACTTGGGAACCAAATTCAAGGCTGAAATTGAAGCTTTTGGCCATGATTGCGACTTGCTTTATTAACAGTAAATAGTGAGCACTTTTGGGAAAACTTGGAGCCCTTAGAGCTCATCAGATCATTGTCTAATCTTTTTTAGCCAGTGTTCATTGTTGGATATCCTAATGATATGTAAATTTTTAATCGTTTTGAAATGATGTGGATCATCAGATATTTGTAATTTGCATAAGTTATGAACTTTATAAGATTTAGACCACTTATTTTATGTTTTGAATTGTTTAAATTTTAGATCGTTTTCAGTTTATTTCTCTTGCAGTTTTATTTGATAAAAAACTTTGAATACATTTGAATGGTTTTATAGTTTTGAAGAAATTCAATGAAAAAGTTTTTTTAAAGTTTTGAGAAATGGAAAATTCAAAGACATCACGTGAAATTAATGCCGATGAGTTTATCTATGACAATGTGAAGATCTATTAGGTATTTTCCCTCTTTTATCAAAATTTTCCTCTTTATTAATTTGTGTTTTCTTAGATATGAGACTTAAGCTAGTTTTGTTTTTGTATATATTAGAGAATAATATTAATAGGAGATATATACTTCAATCGGCAATTTGAAGAAGATATATTCGATACTATCTTTCATCTTTGAAAAAGAAATGAAGTAATTACTATTTTTTTTTATTGAAAATAGGAAAAACACAAAACGAGATAGTTCATTAAAAAAATTCTAACAATTGTATGAAGTCATAACATACTCTTGTCAAGCTAAGCAGTGTCGAAAAGTTTCATTGAAAATTCACAGCTAAATTTTCTTTTATTTATATTACATACATATAAAAAGTATGAAAACAATATATTTTATCTTAAAATTTTAATTAAAATATGATATTTAAAAACTTTGGAGGCCCAAGGCTTTGCTTTTTATTCGGCTGGCCCAGGTTCGGCCTTGGTTGTAACCTCTTTTAACACGTAAAGTCGTATTCCAACGATTAGCCCTAGAGCCTCTCGTGCCTCCTCATTTCATTCATACCTTAGAGACGGTGATGCAAGCCTTTCGTAACGCCGGAGGTCAGTAATACCTTCGTAGTTCTCTTGTCATATTAATCTCCGGTTTTAGATCTCTCCTTTTTCACATCAGTTATATATCTTGAATTTTATCATCTCGATGAGTCTTTTCTAATTCAACTCTAAACCCTTGCTTGGGTTTGTGCTAGGGCGTCGTTTGTTTGCAACGGTTGGAGGAAATGGCCGCCGCTTTCCACCCAGACGTGTTCTGCCTAAAATCGTGCCGGGGGATTCGTTTGGGAGGCCCAGGCCTCTGCCCAGACTCATGGCGTTGATTAAGCAAATGCAAGGACTCTCTCATAAAAATAAGCTTAAATATGGTTTTATATTCAGTGAGATCCTCGGCCTTCCAAAGCCTCCCGAGTTACCCAGAGGAGCCGACGAGAATTTTGCTGTCAAGTTGGTCAAGTTTGATCCTGACAAGCGTATGGCTGTGCTTAGAGCAGTTGCATGGGTCAAATCGCTGGATTCTATCAAAGTCGTCAAACATTTGTCAGAGATGGGTCTGTCACCAACGCTTGATGCCGTGGAAAACGTCCCCTCCGTGATTAAAGAAGGTGTCTCCGAGGAAGAAGCCAACCAAATCATTGCCAAGATCCAAGCCGCCGGTGGAGTCGCTGTCATGGAACCAATGGAGTGAAGTCATTATGTCTCAATGGAAGAAGCTCATTGTGATTTGGCTTTTCTTTTAATTTTTTCTTTGTCTTGTGATTACTCTACGTTTTGCAAGAGAACAATTAATCACTCTTAAGTAAGAGTTGATAGTTGATTCCAACCAATTTTTATCTCTTTGCATTGAGCAATAACAGTATTAATTACTAGTCAATTCACAAGCTTCTCTAGTACTACTAATTCACAAGCCATATATACTTGTGGAAAACCAAGATTATGACGTGGCAAAACCACAAAAGACCAAAAGTGATATGCGGGCAAAAATTCCAACTGTTTAGACCCGGTAACCCGACCCGACCCGAAAGGGTGCGTGCTTAATCCCAAGTTGGGTTTAGTCCCGGGACTATCTCTATCAATCGAATCAAATTTAAAGTCATCGACGAACGAGCTCGGAAAATTCAATCGGATTGTGCGAAAATGCCGGTCATGGAGAAACTGAGGATGTTCGTCGCGCAGGAACCAGTTGTCGCCGCTTCTTGCTTAATCGGCGGTGTTGGTATGAACCCTAATTCATTATGTATATCTCATTCCTTGCTCACAGATCGAAATTTTAGATCGCCGCCATTCTCTTTCTTTCTTCCTTGGAAACGATTTGCTTTTCCGTATTTTACCAGTTTTTTTCTGGAGATCATCGTTGAATCATCAACCTATCGCTAATTTGTTCAATTTTGATTTGAGAATCTAGAAATGCATATGCAAGGGAACATCTCGTTTCGGAATCGCCATATCTAGGGTTTTTCGAAATGCCTAGGCTCAAAAGTTGGGATTTTTTTGAAATCGAATTCCAGTTCAATTACTTCGATAGCCATTATATTAGCAGCAAAAACACAATGTCTTTTTTTTTAATACTGACTGTAAATTTAGCAAAAGGCAAATGTGTTGTTACGTTTTCTGATTCGTTCTCTTCATCTTGTAGGACTCTTTTTGCCTGCTGTTGTGAGGCCTATCCTAGATTCACTCGAGGCCTCCAAGCAAGTTAAAGCGCCTCCACTTACCGATGTAAGTATCAGAACAAGTTTATCTACTTGAAAGCTTCTTTGATGGCTAAATTCTCCCCTCTTCTCCTATCTAATGGATCTCGAATTTTACCAGCTTCTTTGATAGTTTGTGTTTGTTCTTGTATGTTTGTATGGGCAAAGTGATTCTCAATGTTTTGCTTCTCCTCACTCTACTGCATATTCTTGTGATTTGCTTTGGTTCATCATGTATGACTCTGAAAATTCTATGCTTTTAGTCATGGACGAGTGTCATGATCACGTTTGGTTAATATCAAAAAACAAGGTTCATGAATAAAATAGACTTGTTGGTTAACCCATTGTTTAGTATAACTCAGTACTTAAATATGCATATTGCATAGGCAAACAAATGCATCGAGTATTTGACTCAGTTCCAATTTGCTCTTGCAGGTTATTGCTGGTGTCACAGGGAAGAAACAGAGCTAATCCAAAGCAATGGTTTCCCCTGTTTTGCTTATATTCAGATTTTCCATATTTCTTTTTGTCTTTTAACCATTTCTATTCACAAATGAAATAAGCCAGACTCGTGTTTTTGTTCTGAAACTTATATATAAAGGCATGTGTGTATCAGATGTATTATTCATCTCTTGATGACAAATCGAAAAGCTTGAAATTTTTGTTGCCATGGCTCATGAGTCTTCTTTATATATAGCATACATAAATACATCACAAAGATATTAGTTTTACATTATCATAAAATTGCTAGTCTTACATACACTCTTAGTAGCTCTTTAACATCAGCTTGATCCTCAATAGGTAGATCGAAGTTTTGTTGTTGTAAATTTGTCGTAATGCAATTGAAAACAGGTTTAAACCTTTTCGATACTCAGCTTCTTGTTCTTCCATGGCATTGCTTGCTTCAATCCCTTACATAAACTCTCCTGCATTTCCCCCAAACCAAACTCCATTAAGTGTAAGACAAAAAACTTGGGAAGACCAAGTCACCAAGAAAGAGCCAAGAAAACGAATACTTTACCCAAAAGTGAGATCCTTTTACAGCGCCACCACCATCGAAACTCCCTGATCTGTTAAACTTCATGATCTTCATGTTATGGTTGTTGTTGATCTCACCTGCTCTCTCGTTCTCCGATAGAAAGACATAACTACCCCTGACGACAACCTCCCCTCTCCCTTTCCTTCTCAGGAACCCAAAGAGCCCATGTTTCCTCTCAGGCAAGGGCATGTGAGTGAATTCACCAGGAAGGAGCAAACGAGGTGGCAAATCAAGGCATTTAGGGTAAGAAAGAGGACGAAGAGGGTTCTTGGGCTTGCCTGGTTGCTCTTCCCAGCAAAACGGAACAGAGGCAAGAGTGTGAATCGGAGAAGCAAACACACGTGGACTTGCAGGTGATGACGTGTACAACAATGATCTTGACTTTGCAGCTAACACAAGTGCCAGCTTCGCCTTCTCTTCTTCCTTTTCTTCTTTCATTCTGGGTTATTATTACTCTGTTTCTTTCTTCTTCTTCTTCAGCGCAAAGGCTGTTTCCTTTTAGGTAGTGGAGAGTGAAGAAATAAAAGACAATGCATTAAATATGTCTCAAATCATTTAAATGATCCAACGGTGGATTTTCCTACTCTTGACTAGATAGACAACCATTCATAAAAGTCAATACTCTTTCGTTTTAGAGGAAATTGACAGACCACGTCACCAAATAATAGTAATAATATTATTATTTGTTTATACTCTTCAAAGAATATGATGTCACCATATAGTATTGACTTTAAATAGTGATTTTTTTTACAGCATTTTCTTACTTCTAAGTTCTAACTGTATCCCTATTGTTTTTTGTTTTCTTTTAAATATCATTATAGTTAAGGAACATTAGAACAAAACCATTATATGTTTGCTCAACGAATAAATTTTGATAGTAAAGCCAGTAATTTAAAAGGAAATGATTTTTGAAAGTAAAACAATTCTTTTTAAGAGTAAATAAATTATTCCTTTAAAATTTTTAAGAGGTGTAATGCAACAGTGTAGTAGGTAGAAATGGAACGGAAAATACCCACACGCACCTGAACCACGTGGAGCGCGTGATCCTTAAATGCAATATGGGTTATGCCTTTTTGGGATAAAATGGAGAAAGAGAGGCCAAAAGCGCGTGAGATGCTCTTTATTCTGTTTTTAATTAATGATGGGTGATTAACATTTAAACATCTTCTGTTCATGCATATTTCATCACAGACTGCTTGTGGATTGTGTGATAGTACTCTGAATTATAAAAAATTCTGTGATTTTAAATCTTATCTTATACAATTGGTTTAAGGAATTATGGAATCGACGTCAAAATTATCTGCCGACAAATTGCTTTATTGTGATTAACGATGTAAAGAAAGCTCAATCCGGACCCATAATTAAAATGTGGTTTCATCACTGAACATTCCCACCGACACCGAACTTATGATCTCTCTTAAGCTTAGTGTGATTTCGCATGTGTAAAGATCCTAATGATGATAACTATTTTAACATAATTAATTTTTTTAAAAGGATGAATGTGGTCTTAGGTGAGGAATTTTTAAATATTAAAAAGTCAAATTATCAATAACATATATAATACTACTAATAATCTCCTGAAAATAAAAGAGGGGTGGGTCTTTTGTTACGCGGAACCCAAGATTAAGGGAGCAGGTTATTTGCATTTGTCTTTATAGATACAATTATTGATTATCAAAACGGATTATTATACTAATAACATTACTGACTTACGGTATCAATTTTACAAACATTTATGTTTATACTCCCTATTTACAATCTCTGTAAAATGTATTAATTTAATCAACCAAACACTACTACTATAATAACATTATCCCTAACACTACTACTACTAAAATGTAGTCCAACACTCTAGCTCACCGCCGAATCGCAGTCATACAAAAAAATTCAGCCAGGTGGCTTATGGCTTTCAGCTTGGGCGAGACAGGCGTGATCGTCACGTGCAATCCAGACGCCGGTTTTTGCTGACCGGCCGGTTAAAAAATCAGCTTACTCTCTGATGTTTAACCGGGCGATTGGTTTCACTTTCACACCACACGGCGCTTACTCGCGAACTCTGCGCTGGATCGCTTCGAACCATCTCTTTAGCCCGAAACAAATTGGACGACCCGAGATGCAGAAGCCAGATGGTTGAATTTCTCGAAAAACAGAGTGCCAACGGACTCTGTCTTTTCGGAGATGAGTACGAGCTTGATCAAGACCATCGTGGGTTACGAGCTATGATTTGCTCGGAACATTTAACTAGCCCGGTTATCTTCTTTGGTTATCAGAATTCGATCCTCAGAGCAGGCCCGATCCTGCGCCCAAACTGACCAAGCCCATACTTACGCCCCACTTTTTATATAAATATCTTAGTTTCTAAAACATATCTTTTAGAATAATCATAATCCTAACTAAAAAAAAAAATCCCTAACAATTTGTGGCAACGGTCCTCTACTTTGTTGTATACAACCATCATATTCATAGTCATACAGACATATTAAAAGTTATTCAAATTTTTAGAATTCAGCATTAGATCTTTCGATTTCAAAGGTAATTACTAATTGGTAGGTTCACGTCTTGTTTTTGTTTGTCAACGTGGAGATCACTAAAAGATAATTACTAATTGTTAACTAACAAGGTTTGTTTTCTCGAAATAATATATTTCATTACCTAAAATTAAAATTAAGGAGTAGAAATATTAGTTAAATATTGACGAAATCATAGATTTCATTAATTTAAACTAAGGAGTAAGAATATTCGTTTAAGCAACTTTAAAAATGGGTTGAGGAAACACGAAACAGAATAAAATCAGAGAAAAAAGTAGTCACAAAAATCATCGGACTAATCTTTGATAACAGGCTATAGATTGATTGTGTATTCCATCGCTAATTGTAAAGCTGTTCTTAGTAAATATGAAAAGAAAGAAGCGGCTGGGTTTTGCTCTCGGAGAATTTCTACACAAACAATTGAAAATCCAATGATGAGGGAGTATTTAAAGATGAAAGAGAAGATGATTGGAGTTCTTTTTACTGAGGGGTCATGAACTAAAAGACTTCTAAAGCATGATGATGTGCTCCTCCACATTGATGACTTGCCCATTCAAAACGATGAGAAAGGTATTTGAATTAATCTGATGTCTTTTGAATTATTTGTCTTGTAATAACGTAAATCAATCCACAGTATGTTATCAAACAAAACTGTAAAACAAATAAATTCATAATCTTAATCAACATTTACAAATATTTGACATATGTTAAACATTTAACCTATTTTTTTTTTGGTTTCAGATACATTCGATACAATGTTGTCGCCTAGAAAATCATGTAGTGTCTCGTAGTCACCTCATGGATACTCACTGGATGATGCATAATATTTCCCAAGACTTTGAAGAAGCCTTGTCACATCTTCATAAACAACAAAATTGAAGAAAATGAAAAATTACAATATTCATAGTTTGTGCAAAAAATATTTAAGATATATGAGTTTCAATTATGCAAGTGGATAAATTCACTATGCAAAACATGTTTAAAGAGTTTGCCCATTGTAAAAAGGGTTTCTAAATACTTTTTTTGATAAAATATAAATATTATATGAATGAAAGTAATGGTTTCTTCCCTGTTTTCTTTTGCAAGAGAAAGAAGAAGAAAGATAAATATAGGGAAAATGAGAATTTCTTTAATGGTCGTTGGCTTCTAACAGTAATTGGATTAAAGCGACCGATATGTGTCGTACTAGATGGGCTTAGCAAGAGAATACTTATTGGGTTTTCTTCAACACTTACCATAAATTTGTTTCGGATTAACAAGCAACTAGCAGTAAATAGTTTTTTAATAATAATAATTTCTCATACTGTAATAATATAATACCTCTATATTTTTACCATGATATATTTTTGTAGATACGCGGGCATATCATTACTAGTCTCATTACAAATCATTGAGTTAGAGAAATTCCCTTTAATCCCCAAAAAAAATTCACCTCTAATCATTAATCTCACTTTCTCCTCAAAAGTGTGGTAAATGTTACGAAGGAGGAAAACACACGTGACCTAAAGAATGGGGAGAATAAAAAGAATGTCAACAATGAAGTAAAACAAGTTATGTTTTTTTTCTTTTAGCCTTGGAGTGCACAGCAATCTCGCCTTTCAAAGAGACTTGAGAACGAGGAGCAATGACCACGGTTATAAAATAAAATAAAATGATGTGAATCTCATAAAATAAGGTACGCAAATCACAAAGTGCTGCTCCGAGATTTTTACTTGCGATTATTTCCTTCCACAAAAGGTAGATTATTATAACCTGAAACCAAAGCTTTGCAATGACTGACTTCTGTTGCAAACTACAATGTTGGCGTTTTTATTCTTCTGCTTTCTGTTGTAATAAGTTGTGTAAGGCAACATTGTAACTTTGTAAACTCCAAAATTTCTTATGAGTCATGAGTCATCATGCATGGAGTCTCACTGTCACAAAGGAGGAATAAGAAACTATGCTCCTCTAGTTATTGTCTTGCACAGGAGAGTTTGTAGTTTTTACTGTTGCTTTCATGTGAACACTAAATAGTTGCAAACACCTAACTTCAATTTTTTTTTTTATAAAAAAAAAACAAGCCACCTAACTTCATGACGTGAGATAATCCAACCAAAGAAGAAGAGAAATCAAGAACTTCGTAGTTGAACGTGAACTGTCCTCTGGTCCGATTCAAGATTTACGATCGTACCTTCATCATCCAACTGTGACTTTGAGCTCGTTTTCTTGACCTCATCACTCGAATATATGAATAACTTCTTCGCCATTTTACAAAACTCACTGCACATTCAAGAGTGCACGTCGAAAAAAAACAATCATAAAACTAGAGAGAGTTTAAAAGTTAGCAGAGAGAGAGAGAGAGAGAGTCACTTACTCCCATGGATCGTCTCCTACAAGCATCATATCCCCTTCATCGTCTGTAAACACAATATCCCATTTGTCTTTAGGATTAAGCTCCCCTTCAATCTCAAACATTTTCTCTAACTCACTGATTAGTTCTTCGTATGATTTCAACAATGTTAAATCCACCGCGCGCCCAACCGCTGTTCCTTGCATTTGCACCTTTCCAAGAACAAACCGCCTTTTTTGAGGAAAAACAAAAGTTTGTCTGTTTTTGGAGTTTCAATTGAAGAGTAATGATTTGTTTTACCTTGGTTCGGCTTCTTGTTGATGTTTGTTGCTTCTGGTCATTTTGTGAGTTAGACGAGTTAGGATCTTGACACTTGGTAGAACCAAAGTTGCTTGGATCCACACTTACAAGCTGCTTGTCAGGAGGAATTGGAGCAGAAGCAGGCTTGCTCATGAGATCGAATCCGAATAATCTACAGCAACTTGTGACAGGAGTCTCGGTTTTCTTGCATTGCAATTCACTTGAAATTACTGGTTTGTTCGAGTTTCTTTCGGTTGATGGATCCTGAAACAACAGTTTTGGTGATGGATCGGACTCGTGGCTCAAGAAATTAGAAGCGACAGGGCTCCCAGTGATTTCTGCAATGCAAGACAAAAGCTTCATCTTCAAGAATCAAGTGTTCGAGATCTAATTTCTTGTGGTCAATTCCAAAAACCGACTCTGCTTATCTTACTTGAACATATATGTTTATGAATGTACCTGAAATTGATGAATTAATGGGTCTGGACCGTTTGGACTTGGACTGTGGTTGAGTAGGCGTTGGGCTTAGCGTGGACGGTGAGAAAGGCTCCATCTCCCACGCTGAGACCTTGTTTGGTCTCTGAACTGAAGATGGCTCGTCCCATTGAATCTTTAAGATAAGAAGAAAAAGATTGAAAATTTTACAGAAAGTTGGCAACAAGAATCATATAATAGGAATGATTCATATTCACTGAACCTGCAGTGACCTCCATTTCGAAGCTGGCCATTGAAGAGATAGATCTCCAGTACCAATAACCGTACCGGTAAATCTGAAAGAAGAAACCAAACCAGAACTTCAAACAAGAACAATCAAGAGAGTATTATAAAAAAAATTCGACAAATGATGAGAAGAGGATGAATCTACATTCTCTCAGGGGACTCTTCTCCTTCAAATCTCATCCTAAACCGCATACCGATAGAAAAACCATTCTTCATCGCCACCATATACTTGTTCACACCTATTATGAATTGGCTTATCCTGAAAAAAAAAACAAAAGAAAGAAAGACAACATTAAGCTTAATATCCCATCTTTCTTCACTAGCAAGATGCAAAGTTAGAAACTTGACCTCGGCTTATAGAAGACAACAAACAAAGTTTTGGTGTTAACAGCATGAGAAGCCGTAGCAAGAACTCCCAAATGCATACTCTGACTCGACATCACGGATGCAGGCATTGTGCTTTGTTGCCTCGCTAAACGTCTCACGCCAACTCTTAAATCCCCGGTTTGGCCCCTTAAAAACAGCATAAGATTACTATGAAGCTCACGAAAGTAAAGGACTCGAGCTTTTGTAAACTACCTCAAGAACACAAATGCATCTCCTGCAACAAGTCTTTTCGAGGTTACAAATGTACTCCAACCCGTTGTAAGCAAATGCCTCCTAGGTTGCCCTATTCGAATGAAACAAACTCATTAGATAACTCCTAAAACCTCAAGAAACTCTTGAGAGACCCTCTTAGAGAGTTTTGTTACCTCTGAATATATGCTTAAACCTCCACTCGTAGCCGTGAAGATCTCTAGCCACCAGTTCTTGAGTCGGTGTAGGTTGTGTCAAATCCTAAGAATTGGGAATCAAAACATAAAAATGACAAACTCGGCAAAACAAAAAAAAAAAAGATTCGAAAAAATCGGATGAAAGGGTTTACAAGTGAAGGCAAGCACTCAGTGGCGTGTTTGCGAAGAACAGAGAATCCACCATGAGTGCTTGTATCTGAAGCTGTTAGAATCTTGACAAACGAATCTACAGTTTGTTTAGCAGGTTCGACTAGTGGCGGATCAAGGCTTGTTGGTTCACTTTGCTGAAGAAACAATTCATGAAAACTCGAAATCAAATTCACATTAGGGACTGATCACATTTTTTGTTAGAAAGAAAAAAAAAGACTTACATCTTCCTCTGGCTGTAATGTGATCTGAGCGTATACCTCGTCTGTCTCATGCTCTGCTTTTAGCATGACACTAAGAACTCGACAAAGTATCTTTGGAGGAAGATTAAAAACTGGTATTTCTTGATCAACGACTCCTTGATTAGTCGAAGCCACCAACTGCAAAACCCAAACCAAAAAGGAAGTCTTTATAAATTGAGGAAGAACAAAACAGAGGAAAGACGAAGAATTTAGAATATTTATTTGTTGTAGCTTTACTTGTTCCATGTGACCTTGAGGGAAGTAGAAAACTCTTTCACCAGAGCGAGGAACTTCCACAAGTGGCCCTGCACAAGCTCTCCACAGCTCCATGTACAATTGTTCATCATTAGACCCTAAAATTCAACAAACATAAACAATCCAACCTTCAATTTCAAAAAAAATATAGCTGTAAAACTCAAAGCTTTATGAAATAGAAAGAAATGGGTATGAGTTTATTAAGCTTGATAGCTCGTGAAAGAACCAAAAATGTTGACTTTTTCCCAGGAAAATGTTAGGAAGTAAAAAAAGAAGCTGGAACTTGGGATAATTGAAGTCAAAAAAGAAAAAAGAAACTACAGTCTCTCTCTCTCTTTCTCTTAACTCACCTGATCTTCTGAAATCATCATCAACATTCGCCATCGAAGAAAAAAAAAAAAAACCAACGGGAAGCTAAAATTGAGCTTCAAAAATCGAATCCCTGAAAGCAACTAACCCAGTCAGAGAAACACACAAGAAGAGAAGAAGACAAGAGTCATCAAACACAGAAGGGTTAAAAAAAACTCTCTTTTCTTTAACGAGACACGACGGTTATGTCTGTATTCATTACAGGACATAAATTCATTACAAAAGCACTGTTGGATTAAAAAAACAAAAAAAAAGTAATTTGATTTTAGTTTCTCTTTTCCGGGTTTTTCTCTTCGGCTTTTCAGTTTCAGTTACGAAACCGCTCCTTCTTCCTTCTTCCTTCTTCCTTCTTCCTTCTGCCTTTCTGTCTTCCTTCCCTTCGTTCAAACTCCGTGTCGTTTTCTCTATCCATTCATAAACTACTTGCTGCTTTCTCTTCCTTCAAGTTTTTTTAAAAGAAACGTATGGTCAATTATTGTGAGATCGAATCTGAAGCGTTAGATTAAAGACAGCGACGGTTCTTGTGCAGTTGTGCGTTAGTAAGTTAGTAAATGTCTTTTCACTTTTTCACTAACCACTCTCACAATTGGCAAATCATAGCCTCTGACCATAACAAGGCGCGTGAAGCCAAAAGCTGTTGGTGTGGTTTCTTTGGGTTTTATTCCGTCACGAGTTCCGTTAGATTTGACAGAGACGTTACTTTCTTGCTTGTGTCTAGCACGTGGCATGCAAACATGTTGGCTCATGAAATGTGCCGGCAGAGATTTTGCAATCTATCGAACGAACGTTATGGTTCATTGATAAGCGTGCGGTATTTCTTAATCTTTCGTTTTTGTATTTGACTTCACAAAGTTAACTCAATTTCTCTCATGCGCTCTTGTTTCTTCCTTCTCCTCATACCTGCTGACTTATAGAATCAATCTTGAAACGATAGGTTGAGATAGCTCACGTAAATACTTCAATGTTTTTTTTTCTTCTTTTCTTCGGATGATTCTTCTCTGCATGGCCATGGAATATTATGCATTACGTATCACATCGATTCCAATGATTAACATTATATATTACAAAATAAAGATAGTGTTCTTTTTTTTTCTGACGGGATAGAAATAAGAGACTTTTATTCAATCAGACTGTTTCATTCCACTGCTGTACTTGTATTTGCTTTTGCTAATAACTCATTTAATCGATAAAACCAGCAAAATAAAACTAATTCATTTGGTTGCTATCTCCGATTACTCATTATCCGTCCGACACTTGTCATAATATGTGTATATATATAGAGAGAGACATATTTGAGTTTCCATAAAATAGGTTCAGAAAAACTAGAACAAAAAAAAAATTTATTTATGAGGAAATAAATAGATAAAGCGACTGCGAGACATAATAATAAATTATTATTGAAATGTGACTTCACGAAGTATTTAACATTTCAAGTCTTAATAGATTTTTCTAGGAATAGCAAAGATAGTCAGGTTGATTGTTAATGACATAGATGAGTCGCTAGACCATGTGCGATTATCGCGGTTGTTGTCTTTGTCCACCATTTTTGCTGTTCTGCTATATCATCATAATAGTTGTAAAGTAACAACACATGACGGAAATAAAATTACGTCAACAACGAAAAAAACTAAGCAATATGCGTAGTATTTACCACTCAGATATATTAATTTTTAGCCGTATTTTTTTTTATTTTGACTAAACAGAGGAAATTAACTTTCTACTGATTTTAACAAACGAAATGTATGATGATACCACGAGAATCTGATCCTTATCAAGACTCACAGTCACAAATATATAACCGTATATATATATATATGTTACATCCCGCGATGAATTACTTTACACAAGTTGTAAATACTTTAACGCAAAAAATCCTTTTTACAGATAATATAAACTATTATTAAAAAATAAAGAGAAACCGAACAATAAAAGTAGAGGACCGTTTGCCTCGAATTGATGGTTAGGAATATGATTATTCAAAGTGTTTGGGAACGCACGGATGGGAATATAACCATTTATAATTGCTTGATTAATGGTACAATGGAATAAATTTATATAGTTTTTACCATTATTTTGTTCTTCTAATGTTACTTTTGATAGTCCGTTTATTTTGTTGGCCAACGGGCATTATTTACATTTATAGTTAATCACTTTATAGTTAATAACTCGTTTAGTCGTAATCGCCGAATCAATAAGTAAGAATAACGAATATTCGGTTTGTAGATATGCAAGTCTCAACTAATAGATCGTCATCGAGTCGTATTTTAAAAAGAAAGTGAAGTTATGGGAAAATGACATCATGGCCTCTTCTTTTTTTTTGTATCTAAATATAGTACAAACTAAGAATTTGAAAATCTATAATAATTAAATAGAAAATAAAGTCATGGTTATTGGCTTAAGTTAACAACGCATTCGAGAAAAGAAGATTTGATTCCAACGCCCGTATCTATTATCTTGGAACTATTACAGAAATTAATTTTATCATATATACTTTAAAAAATACTGACTTTTTGATATAGTTTCAAGTTCTTAACTGGTTGATAGGACATTACACGTTCTGAGGTTGTGAATACCTTCCACTAGCATAAGATATTGGTTTACTTGCGAGTCGAGTCAAAGCAAGGGCACGGTGTTGGTGAAATGTAGAGAAACGTCAGAAGTAATTTAGTTACCACGCACTGTTTTTGATATATATATATGTATAAAATCACGTTAAATACAATATAACATTCATTTTAGATCAGATGAAAGCAAATAGTATTATACTATTTCATTCATTTAATATGCAAGAAACGACCCTTCCTTCACTTAAGAGTGTAAGGGTCATAACTCGTAAGGAATCTCTTAAACACTAAAGCTCATGGACCTGGCTAATAAAGATATCAGAAACAAGATTAAAATTCGGATTAATTATAATATGGTTATCTTGGTTATTATGATCCATTTATTCGGCTACGATTTAGAGGTTAGATTCGTGTATTCTAAATTGCCACTTGTCAATTTACAATTCAGAAAAATGCGTTTGGATTTACACTTTCTTGTTATTGTTTTTTTTATTTTAACTAAAATTTCTTGCTAGTGTTTCAGCTTTCAAAATTATCATAGTTATATCCAATTGCAAAACAAAAAAAAAAATTATCATAGTAAAATTAAGATAAATATATATGTCCACAAGATATACATTTGGTTATCACGATCAAAACATGACAATTTAGTTTATCCCAGTAAGAGAATCATTAATGCCCCAAAATGCATCGGTATTAATTTTCAGATCATTCTTTTCTCAGCATTATAACTGAAATACTATTTCTTTAATTAATAAATCTTTAGTAGAAAATAATAACTAGTAGTAATAATTAAGTCTTAGTGCATAATAACTAGTGGACTGGGAAACCTCAGGATATCTTATGGAATCTTTCTATAGTTTAGTCAAAGAATGAGAATCACTGCCTCCAATAATGCAGATAACCTCATGCTTTAATATTACTAAACTTTTTTTTTTCAGGATCGTGAATTCGTGATTGATCTTAGAGAAGAATATCTAAAATATCACATATAATATGGTATCGATAATTTTTTCAATGTGTTTATATAATAGTGAAAGCAAATTACTCAACACATTGTTTCAAGTACTATATGTTCATGTTAGTATCACGTACTTGGCGAATGCATAATTCCGATAGCTATTACCTCCGAAGACTTGATTATCGAGATAAGGATGAATGTTAAGTGTTAATTAGGGATCCAATCATATACATAGACACGTAGTCAGTGTACATATTGTAAAACTAAAATCTAACATGGAGAATACTACATCTATAATCTATTGGCATGTTCCGACCAGACATGCATATATCTAAAGACCAGTTTCTAGCTCTTCTTCTTACTATGTTCCTGGTCGAGTAATAAAATGCTTTTTTTTTTTTTGCATGCACATGTCCTGAAAGGCTGAAACCTCAACTCGAAATGTGATCTCATCACACACATGTGGCACATATATATATATATATATATCGAATCATTTATTGAAACTTTCTATTTATTTTCAAATAATGGGTCATATCACGAAAATAAAAGTTATAATCGACTAGACTATTATGCATAATTTATTATCGAAATGTAATATCACGAAATAATATGTTACTACAACTAATTTTACAGCAAAGAGATTATTTGTATACAGAAACTCCTATAAGTAGAATGAAACACATAAATTTAATATGGAAACAAAACTAAAAGTCGTAAATTAGAAACTGTATATTGTCCTTTAAAAAAAAAAAAAAAGAAACCATTGTCCTTCTCATTTTTCTCATTGACCAATGACCATGTAGTGGATGTATATGTATTACTTTGTTACATAGGGAAAGGATTCCTAGTACGCGTTTGTGACCTTTTCCAATTTATTCAATTAAAGGCACCCTTACATGTGTGACAAATGATTGGTCGATTTTTTTCTTAAAGGGATTAGGGGGATAACATTAACATTTAAATAAAATAGTCAAAGAAGTTAGCACTCCATTTGTAATTGGGAAATCTGGTATTCTTACACTGCAATGTCTTGTTAATCTAATGCAGGTAGACATATGAAATCGAATTTGAAAAACTACATTTTGCTGTTGAGTACCATTAAAAGTTAGCCCCCCGTATATAAATTCAAAAGAAATAAAAACAACCCTCTAGTTAGTTCCCTAATTATTGAACAAATGACTACGTTTATTGGATCTACTTTGGCCAATCCACACAAAATCACAAACTTGAAAACTATTAACAATGCTTGGGACCATTATAATATTTCTTGAAATGCCAATGTCGTCTTACATTATAAAATGAAAAGGAAAGTAACAAAACGAGGGGACCAGATGCTAAATCACATGATCATATCATATGACCATCTCTTTCTCACTGCCAGGATGAGTCTCAATCATATCATTATTTACAATCTAACACATAATACTATAAATGGTTGCCGGAAAAAAAAATGACAATAATTGAGATCGCCGACGTGGGAGGGGGCACTAGAGAATAGTAGCAGACGAGATTTAATGAATAAAACGATAATTGAAGATAAAAAAAATATAGATTATTTGAAAGACTTTTGTCGACATCAGATGTTTTTCTATAAATATGTTTGCAAAGTAAATATATCACGATTATTATTATTGGTGTCCAAAAACCAAAAATGCTACCATTTCCACCTTCCTTTATACAT